CTCAGATAGACGGTGGGGAGTCCCTCCTTGTGAAGTGGGGGCAAGGGGTACAAGTGGGCCTGTTGATTATATACCTAGCTCCCTGCTATGTATCAACGGCCCTGCCTGAGTTGGCTGACGTAATAGCAGGGGTGGCGGTTGAGACCCCCAGACTTGTAGTCATGGGGGATTTCAATCTGCCATCAGCGGGCGAAACGTCAGCGGCAGCTCGGGAGTTCTTGGCTTCCATGACGGCCTTGGACTTGACCCAATTAGTTTATGCCCCCACTCACACGGGAGGACACACACTGGATCTAATTTTTGTCTCTGGCCAGTGGCAGAATGATCTGGAAACAGGGGAGGTAGTTATAGAGCCCCTGTCATGGTCAGATCATTCACTCCTTAAGATGGACTTCCGGACCGCTCCCCCCCGCTGCAGGGAGTCGGAACCGCATAGATGGTTCCGTCCCAGGCGCCTGATGGACCCAGAGAGGTTCCGGACGGAGCTTGGGCCATATCCTGAGGATCTAGTTCACGACTCGGTTGAAAATCTGGCGGCGGCCTGGGAAGTGGCCGCTGCCGCAGCACTGGACCGAGTCGTGCCTTTGCGGCCTCTGACCCGGCGCAGATCTCAACTGGCTCCCTGGTTTACTGAGGAGCTGAGAGAGATGAAGCGCCAGAAAAGACACCTAGAGAGCAGTTGGAGGGCTAGCCGAACCGAATCCGATCGAGCACAGGCAAGGACGCAGGTTAGATCCTACCTAGTGGCGATGAGGGTGGCTAGGTCTAATTATTACTCCACCCTCATTGCGTCATCAGATAATCGCCCAGCCACCCTCTTCAGGGTGACCCGCTCTCTCCTCCAGTTGAGGGAGGGAGGGGACCCCCTGGAGGGGAGGGCCGAGGACTTTGCTCAATATCTGCATGACAAAGTCGCTCGGATCCGAGAAGGTCTTGTCTCTGACTGGGTGGCCCCGGGGGAGGAGACGGGAGCAGGTCTTGAGACTGTTATATAGGAGGAGTTTGACTCTGTGGCCCCCGAGGACGTGGAACGGATCCTGGGGAGGCTGAATGCAACCACATGCTTATTGGATCCGTGCCCCTCCTGGCTGGTACTGGCTGCCCGGGAGGGTACAAGAGCCTGGCTCCAGGGAATTATAAACGCTTCTTTATGGGAGGGTGTCTTCCCCATAGCCTTGAAGGAGGCGGTGGTGAGGCCCCTCCTTAAGAAGCCTTCCCTGGACCCAGATGTATTAGCTAACTATCGCCCGGTCTCCAACCTTCGCTTTGTGGCGAAGGTTGTTGAGAGTGTGGTTGCGCAGCAATTCCCCCGGCACCTGGAGGAAACAGTCTATCTAGACCC